ATAAATCAATATTATAAATTGTTTTTGTACACAGCAAAAAACACACAAACAGAAAATAAAATAAAAAATACCTTTTACGGTGAAACCAAAAATCAAACTCACTGCCGTCAAGTTGGATCTGACTCATCGTGACCCCTATGGAAAGGAAATTGCCCAACCTTCCTTCCAAGGAGTGGCTGGTGGGTAGGTTTAAAAAATTAAGATACCTAGAAATCAATCCAATGAAAAGTGTATAAGACTGCTACACAGAAAACTAGAAAACAATGAAAACCATTAAGCTACAAAACTATTAGAGATTAAAGAAAACCTAAGTACACTGAGTAATATACCATACTTGTGGAATCAAAGATTTGATAAGATGTGGTGGTGGTGGTGGTGGTGTGGTCATACACCATAAGAGTTATTTTGATGCAAAGCAACCCATAGCAGAGTAAAACTGCCCCACAGAGCTTCCTAGGCTGTAATCTTTATGGGACATCACCAGGTCTTTTCTCCCACAGAGCAGCTGGTGAGGTCAAACCACCAAGTTTTTGGTTAGCAGCTGAGTGCTTAATCATTGTGCCACCAGAACTCCTAAGATGTTGTGGTGACCTCAAATTTTTTGACCATGAAAAGGTAGGGTCTATTTCTTCTTCCTTGGAATCTGAGTGGCTTGTGAATGATTCAACCAATGAACAACAGTAGAAGTGATACTATGTGACTGCCAAGGATAGATCATAAAAAGCAGTGTAGCTTACTCTTGGTCCTCTTGGAATGCTTGCCCTCCCCATGTACCCTTTTGGAACCAACTACCCTAATGTGAGAAACTCAGCAACATGGAGAGGCCATTATAGGTGCTCGAATAAACAGTCTTTGCCCAGGTACAAAATTTACAAGCAATGAAGCATCCAAGGGATTCCGACACTTACCCACATTTGATTCACTCCTAGCCAAGGCCCTAAGTATTATGGACTAAAAAAGCCATATCCACTGTGCCTTGTCCCAATTCCTGACCCACAGAATCCATGAGCATAAAAATGATTGCTGTTTTATACCACTTAGTTTGGGATGGTTTGTTACTCAACAATAGACAGCTGGACAAAAGATGTCAACTCTATATTCTATACATTTCAGTACAATTTCAATTAAAATAACAGTTATATTTTTTTGGTGGAAATTTGTTGTTGTTGTTGTTGTTGTTGTTATGTGCTGTTGAGTCGGATCTGACTCATAGTGACCCCCTTCTTGGGTTCCTGAGTCAGTATCACTACAGAAGTAGATTGCCCAACCTTCCTTCTGAGGAGTGGCTGGTGGGTTTGAGCTGCCAGCCTTCTGGTTAGCAGTCATGTGCCTTAGGCACTTTGCTACCAGAGCTCCGGTGGAAATTTACAAGCTGATTTTAGACTTATTTATGGAATCAGAAAGCATCCTTCTTATTAAAGAAAAGCAACAAAGCTACTACCAGATATCAAGCCTAATTATAAAACTACTACTAATTATTAAAAGTGTGGTCTTAACACAAGGACAGATGGAGAACTATGGAAAAGAAGTGTCTAGAAATAAACCCACATTATATGCATCATCTGATTTACAGCAAAGGTGACAATGCTGTACAGTGAAGGAAAGAATAGTTTTTTCAATAAATGACACTGAAGCAACCAAATCCATATGGAGAAGAAAAAAAATATGTATATATATATATATATATATATGTATGTATGTATGTATATATTGTGCCCCTAACAGTGTATTTCACTGCTGGGAGAACAGTTCATGCTATTTCCTCTTTAGAGACAGCATAAAGCACCTGCATATGGATTCCCCCAGACTGCCTGGTGTTTCTTTCCCCCTTACTAATCTGGTTGTATATCCTTGCCATGTCACTGTAATAAATCTTAGCTGTGAGTGTAACCATATGGTGAGCCCTGAGAGTCCTCCTATTGATACGCCACATGTGTGGGTGGTCACAGAACTGCCAAAACAAGCACTGTCACATGTGTTCCCTACAATATGTATAGTAAGAGTATATATTAAAATATTTCATACACAATTCATAGTGTTTGAGTGTGGAAATGTATCTTTAGCACTAATGAGATCTTAACACAGCTTTTCCTATCATAAATTATATGTGAAAAGCATATTTCACACATTATACATGTGCCAATATAATAAAAGCAACTCCTTCATGAGGTAAGAAAGGCACACCATTCCCACTGCCACTACAGGACCTAAGAGAATGCTAAAGGATGATTTTTCAAAAAATGTACCTTATTATAAAAATGTCCCAACACCTAATTCTTCTAGGTGAATTTTCCTTCTTCCTACTAGTTCAATTCATTTACAATTTTAAACTACATTCTCACATATAAAAACCTAATGGGAGCAAAACTTTGAATCTAACATAACACCAAAAAGTGATGTAACGTCTATTAGTCTATTAGACTTATCACCAAGACATTAATGCATTACAAATTATTTCTACAATGAAAAACATCAACTGTCCATAAATTCTGTTATCACCACTGCTGAAAAAAAAAAAACTCCTGGAGAAAACATATCGCTTTTAGTCTAAGGAGAGTTTGTAGACATTACTCAAAAAAAAAAAAAAAGAGTAGAAATAACTAGTGATCTAATTTTATAAGGAAAATTAGCTGAACTTCTACTTGATACCTTATTTGTGTAATAACAACAGTCAGAGTAGTAAGGGAGAAGTATTATAAAAATAAAAACTTTCATAAATAACCTGCATTACATCTTAGGACTATTACATTGTGATTAAAGCTCTGCTTTGCTTTAAAGATAGTTTCTCAAAAAAGTGTTCATTTACATTTAACAGAGTGATAGAACTGTGAATTTTTACAATTCACATTCTGTTACTATCAATAAGCTAAAAAAAATAATAAGCAGTACTCTGTTGTATCTTAATAGACCAAATCCAGCAATCTGAATACACTGAAACTGTATTTATATGACCATGGCTAAAGCATTCATCACAATTTCCATGGCTGGCCCTAACAAGAATGAGTCCCAGAACTGATGATCCAACCACACAGCTCAAATTTAAAAGCATCAACTGGACTGGACTCAACTTTTGAGTCCTGACTAACTATCACAGTCATGACGTAACAGCTTCATGACCAAGAAACTCTTTTAATCCAAGAGGAAAATTAAATTCCTCAATCTTCCTGTCTCAAAAATATAGAATTGTGAGAGCAGAATCCTGCTAACTATCAATGATTGAGTCCTACAAAAATAGATTGTGATAAAATAAGAGAAATGTAAAACTACAATATGGCATTTTTATTATTCATATTAATTTTAAGAGTAATTCATTTGAACATTAACTCTTAGGGTTGCCCTTATGCTCTGTGTTCCTGTAGCACCTAATCCCTTTGATCTTGAAACAAGAAGTTGATTTATAAACTAAATATAAATTTCCCCCATCAGAGTTCCTGGGGAAAAATAAGTCAAAATGCAATTAGTATATATGGTTGACACAGGTATATATGCCAATCCTGTACTTCAGGAATTACATAATTTGGGGATCGTGTAGGAGGGATGGAAGTGGGAGAAAAACTGCCCTCACAATCTGCACCACTGATTTTTTTGTGCTGAACATGGTTTTCAACTGTGCCTCAAAGCATCCAAGATTTCAAGAGGTTGAGGTTTTAAATCCTCAAAAGGTTACCTATTTCCCTCACTCTACAGAGGTCCCTAAATTAATGCTTAATCTATGAGGAAGGCCCTTGGTCTTGATTTTAGTTTTCACAGGCAACTGATAACTCTCTTTGTTAGGATTAAGCAACAACAATATACCCAAATGGTGATCCAACTGATCACTATACCACCACTGAGCTCTTTAACATTTTTAGCTAAAACAAGTGTTCAATTCTCAGAAGACTGACCATACAATTCAAATGTAAGTACAGGCAAACAATGGTTGGGCGAGTTTCAAATATTTTAATTAAAAAAAAAAATAGCACTTCCAAAAATAAATGCTATACAAATGAAAGTTTAAAAGTAAAAGATATTCAAGGAACAAAACCCTTGACTATTAAAATATACTAAATATATAAAGCTACTGATGCTTAGTGTTCAAATTCAAGGCAAATGCAAATGTAGCTTATAATAATATATATAGTAATGTTTTTCACGATATGGCTGTTTTAAACCATCTATTAGTGACTTTTTTAAGTAAACATTTTCTAAAACCTCCACTCATAATTTAAATGAATTATTTTACAATCATTAATTTAAAAAAATGGCACGTTTTCTAACAATTCATCTGTGCTTTAATAACAATGAACCATGGTAAAACACTCAAGTGATTCAAAGGTTTTGTTAATGACTCACTCATCAGATTCCTGCAGTTACACGACCACTCCAATAATCAGAAGAGCTACAACTGTCCTTAAAAATGACATTCATTCAAATCTGATAAGCATACTAAAGATTAAAGAGATGTAATCTTTTCCATGTTAAAACATTAGAAATTTCTGTAAAAGTTGTAATGATAAATTGTTTACTTAAATCACTTAGCCAGCAATTTATAAAAACAGAGGGAAGCATCATCATTTTAGTATTTTCTTTGTAACTTCTATAGTAAAAACTGAATGCTCCCATTCAAATTATGGCATTAGTTTTAGATTTTAGAAATTCTAGCTTTAAAAATATTAACAAACATGTCAGTGACATCTAGAGGGGCATTTTAACTAATTCACCTAGCTGTTCTTCAGGTTAAGAAAGACTTTTCTTCAGTGTGTGTGAAATTGTCTTACAATCACTTCCTTATTTTAGTAAATCTATTTTAGATGTGATTCAAGGCAAAACACATCTTACTCTAAATTCTCCACTATGACAAGAGATGAATGGATATGATCTTACACATTGACAATTTAGTAACGAGACAAACCTAAATTAATAAAATTTACATAATTAATGGTGATTAATGCCAAATACAACAGGTCTTATTCTCACAATTTGGAATTAATTTTCATGCAAAATTTTAATACAGAGTTTTGATCCTTACTTATAAAGAAATTTAAAAAAATTTTTTCTCATAAGTAACCCAGACAAATAGTAGAAAAAGCATTTTATTTATATGGAAAAAGCTACAGTAAGATCTGTAAAAGGTGTCAATATAATATTGCCTATACAGAAAAAAATTCAAACGTGAATAGCAACAAATAAAAGTTACACATCTTCCTACTTAGCAGTGCAATTAATTCACATTGCAATAAAGTCAAGTATAACAAAATCAAAACAAGTGTTTCTCCATAATCAGTATACTGAGAATTACAGTGTAAAGATCATTTCAGGTTTAAGAAATCTTCGATCAATCTACAGAATACCCTACAAAGGAGACAGACAGTTAATTCATTTAAGTATCATCTGTTGGGTTTCTTCAATACTGTTCACAGGAAAAAAGTAATGAGTTGACGCACATGGTAAATAGAATATATTTCATCTATACAGTAAAAAAATACAAATTATAAAGTGAGCTAACAAAGAATGAACTCTGAAGACATTTATAAAACTGACAACATTTTAGACAACACATACAGTATTTCTCATGTAAAAACATCTAGTTTCAGCAAAAAATAATTTGGTTGCTTTTCAGCTGCATTGTAGATCTTGTAAGCCGAAGATGCAGATGTCCAAGTATCTTAAAAACCATAATAAATGTCTTTCTCAATGCATACAAAATGATAAATGCTCTCATCACAGTCTTATGGGTATTTCTGGAAGTTTTGTCTTGCTTCAGAAACACATTTAAAATGGGTGGAAATTAAAGGGTTTCATGGTACATTGAAACAGTAAACAGTGCTCAATTTACTGCTAATATTGAAAAAAACCTAGATTTTACAGTACTCTAGTATATATGAAAAATTTTTGAATTTTACATTGCATATTTCTGAGTCCATTCTCTTGCATGTCTGTTGTATCTGTAGGCATACAAAAAGGAATACAGTAAAAACATACAAATTTCATCTTTCAGGAGCATCTGTCTATATAAAACTGCATATTCTACTTTCTCATGCTCAATTGAAATAATCCTGTATATATTAATTATTGAGTCAATGAGACCTAAATAAAACAGAAAACTAGTGGATTTTTTTAAAAATGATGGGATTTTATAGATATCTCTACAACTTATATGAAAACCTACCTAAAATAGAAACAACAAAATAAAGAACTAAATTCTAATAGAAATCCACGAAAATCAACTCTGAATGGCATTATATACAAATTGGACAAAAACAAAACTACAGTATCAGCAAGATGAAGCACCTTGACAATTAGATCAGTTTTTTGGGGGGGAGGCAGCTTTGAGATAACTTATTTTCCTAGGAGACGATAAGGAACACAATATACAATGCTTTCCAATGATTAAATTCTTTCATTTTTAATTTACCATCTTGAATTATATATAGTGTTTCCCCATTAAAAAACATGCAATACTATACAAAGAACAGTTACTATCACAAGTCAAAGGATTAAACAGTAAATGGGAGACCACGAGGTTTCCTGCAAATATATTAATAGTTTAAAGGCTTATTCTACAGGAAAAGGATAATCTTAATATAAGATAAGCATTGTTAGCTGTACTTTAAATATATTGATAATACTCTTATGTTTTGATAAATTACATAGAAATACACTCCACCAGAAACTAACATAAGTAAACACTTACTTTTCTTTGTCTGATTTATAGATTTGGGCAATATCTGGTACTAAGGGGTCATCTGGATTAGGATCACAAAGTAGAGAACATATGGATAATAAAACTAGATTTAAAAGAGAACAGCAAATTAGATAATCATCTTTTCCCTTTATACACATACATGTGAAAACAATTTCAGTGAATATAAATATTGAATTTATAAAGAAAACACAAAATAAAATTCCCACACTAACTAAAATTATACACTAATTTTGGTAAGCAGCAAATATTTTTAATTTTTAAAATTATAAAATTACCATCTTTATGAATGTATACCTTTTTAAGTTAATTCTGTTTGAACTTTCTATTAATTTAAAAACTGTGAATTTCCAAAGTAGCTGCTGCTGCTGTTAGCTGCCAGATTGACTGACTCATGTGACCCACGTGTTACACAGCAGAACTGCTTCATAGCACTTTCTTGGCTGGAATCTCAACGCAAGCACATCTCCAGCCCTTTTCTTGCATCTTACCACTAGGGGGGTTCCAACCACCTACCCTTGTGTTAGCAGTCCAGCACAAACTATCTGTGCCACTTAGGGACCTAAGACAGCTATTAACCTTCAAACTCAAGAGTCCTCTACAAAAATATTCTTACATAATGTTCACATCCCCCAAATGGTACATGACCAAAAACATTTTAGAATGGCATCCTAATTTTAGACATTTCTTGGAGGTACTTTTGTATTCAATGCCAAACTGGCTATTTTTTATTCTAATTTAATGCAAGAATCTATGACCTAATCAATTCAAGATAAAGCAACCAAGTAACAGTTAATAGTCCAAAATATTTTGCACATTACATTCACGTCATGTTGTTTTACTATGGCTTAGTGCTACAGATTGTCTGCAAAGAAGGAAGATTTGTAAGATATGTTCAATGAACCTTTATTTTTCCATGTTTTATTGGTATCACATGTATATGTCAATAAGCGATCTTTATGCAACTTGTATAATTTAAAATGTAAATGAAAAAATTTAAAAATAGTTGTTTCTTGTTTCATTAGGTCAAAATACTAATAAAAATAAGTATACTTTAAAAAAAACCTGATCTTTGGAACAATTTCCCATCTCCACCCTTCTCTGCTATGTTCCTATACCTTTTCCTACCCTTTCAAGTTCAAAACTGGATATACAAAGCACAGTTGACTCTGCAATGACAAGGGAAGGGTGTGCTAAGGCCTAATGAAAAAACAAATTTTATTCATCTTATCTTTCCTTCTGTCTACTGAAACTTCATGTCTTGTAATATCAAAGCAACAGGGTAGGTTTTCTGGGATGACAGAAAGCAGAGTAAGACATTTGAAATATTGAAAAGTGAAATATGTGCAAACGAATGAAGTATGAGCCAGCATTATAAAATAAACAAGAGTGAAATCCCTTGTCTTCCACTCCTGTCTCCATTAGCCATTTGCCCTGATTTCACCATTATACACAGACCAAGTGTTTTAAAAGATAAAGAAAACAGTACTAAGATGCCCTGATTTCACCATTATACATAGATTGAGTATTTTAAAATAAGGGAAAAGATAATAAAAGTTAACATTTGGTTATGTGCTTACTATATGCCAAGCACACAGTAACCCTAAACAAAAACCAAACGAAACCCTCTGACTCATAGCGACCCTGTAGACAGAACAGAACTGCCTCATTGAGTTTCTGAGGCTGTAAATATTTACAGAAGCAGACTGCCACATCTTCCTCCCTAGAAGTGGCCACTGGGTTTGAACCCATCGACTTTTTGGTTATCAGTTGAGCACTTTAACCACTGTGCCATGAGGGCTCCTTCACAGTGATGGAGATACCGTAGGTGGTAGTACATTAAAATCTCCATTTTACATATGAGGAGATTGCTATTAAAATTCTAAAAGGACAAAGTTTCCAGAAGTCAGCAATACTAATTATTCTCTATAAAAAGCTACCAATATCAGAAGACAAGATAAGTGCTATTCAGTAACTGGCAGAATGCCATTTTTTTTTATGTGTAAGTACTAAGCTGATCATGCCAAATGGCTTGCATTTCATGACACAATTCCAGTAAAGAGTATATTCATTTGAATAACACTTTGACACAGACTCACTCTTATAGCTAGTGCACAAGAGTCATACTATATGAAGATTTAAAACACAAACAAACAAAAAAAGTGACAATCCATGAGCTATGAACAAAACCCAACCAGGAATTCACATGAACATTTCTGATAAATGTTGCAGGTCAGAAAGACTACCATTCATAAATGACTGACCCACAGGCCTATTACTAATCTAATATTTAAAATAATTATGGCAGTAGACCCTGCTCCTATAGATCTTACCACTTTTAAAAGCATGTTATATCTCAAAGAAGAATAAAGAAAACCAAAGACGCATGGAAACAATTAGTCCAAGGGACTGGTACACCATGCAATCCTCAGTCTATATGGTATGAGACCAGAAGAACTAGATGGTGCCCGGCTATCACTCGGAGGGGGTTCTTTGTAGGAGATCCTGGATAGAGTAGGAGAACAATATGGAACAAACCTCAGAATCATTTAAAAAAAAAAAAAAACAGGTCTGCTGGTCTGACAGAGCCTGGTGGAACCCCTGAGACTAGCTGCCCTTCAGGTCTGGAATTGAATCGATTTCTGTGGCTTCCAGCCAAACAAAAGACAGGCATATGAGCTGAACATTTACATTAGGCAGATAGACTCCCTGGAGAGATCAATCATGGGAGAACAGAAGGGCAGTGTATGCACAGGGAGACAGCTCAGGGGGCAGGAATGCATGGGAAGGAAGGACACAGGAAGAGATGGCTATGGGGAGGAAGAAGGAGGAGAGCTGTTGCATTGTGGGAGATTGCAATCAATGCCATGAGACAAAGTGTTTGTGAACTGCTGTATAGAAGATGAATTTGCTCCGTAAACTTTCACCCAAATCACAATAAAAATTAAAAAAGAAAAAAGCATGCTAGATATTCAGGCAGTATTTCATTACAAAGGAAAAAAGAAATGATTGTGGATTCATCCCATTAATCCTTCAAGGAAAACAATTTTCTTGAATTGTATAGAAAGGGATAGCTACCAAGTTACTTCAGGGGCAGAATTTTCTAACCCAATAACGCAAACAGTATTTTCCAAATGTCAGGCTCTCTTCTGTTAGAGAGAAACAAGACACAAAGAATTCTGGCACAGCAAATACTTTTAGCTAATGAAACAGAAATGCCTTCAGATGGCCTGTCAACTGAGGAAAGAACAGATGCTCTACATCAATGAGAGGTGAAAATCAGCACGAACCATGCCAGTCATGATGGTGATGGTACAGAGTATTCGAAGTCCAGCCTAACATGCTACCTGTGCTGGCATTATACTAGCGTGGGAAATAGGTCTTTCATTTAAGATAATTGACTTTATTGGCCAAGTCTCATTCTTCTTCTTGGTGAAACAAACTAAATATAAAGCCTTACTCATTATGTTAACAGCTTCATTTAGTGAATGGAAAATTGGTTCTAAAATTTTATTTTGCCTTTTGTCTCTTATTCTTTCTCTCCTTTTTAAAAGATAAAGCCCAAACTAAAGGGGTAAAATGTCAATGGTCTTATTCACAAATTTCTAGCACTAACATTTTAAATTTCTTCTAATATTAAGATTTAGTTTTTCCCATCAATTCCCCAATGCTAACTGCTAAGAGACAAAGAGTAATATAGGAGCTACAAAAGCAAAACAAGAGAAAACACAGATTTAAAAAAAAAAAAAAATTCCTGCTGCATTTTTTTTCTATCTAACTGTTATAAACTCTTATAAATTGATAAATAAAATTACCTTTTGATACAGTCAGAGCTGGTGACCATTGTGACCTCAGGATATCAAGACAAATACTTCCATTACTGTTTATGTTTGGATGGTAAATTTTTGTTGTGAAAGCAATCTGTACATAAAACAAACAAACAAAAAAGTGACAATCCATGAAATATGGAGAAAATCAAACCAATCTCCTTTGGGGAAAAATGTCTTCAGCTTCCTATGATCTTAGAAGAGAAATGTATTTTGACCCAAATTGAATGAGCTTCTCCTTTGTGTTTCATATATTAGCTATTAGGAATGTGAGAGCAAATAAGTCAGTTTCCTTTAGCTCCTCTCCAAGAAATTGAGAAGTACTTTAGAGAGTGTAATGAGTAGTCTCTATAGCTGGTGTGACTGGTACAGTAGCATCTGAAGTAATTAACCATGGCTTTCATGTCTCAAAGTAATCCTTTTCTTAAATTAATTATTAGTGATACCTGGAAGTGACACTTGGATCTAAAAACAGGGTGCTAACTGTTTTTCAGGGGAAAGTTGAGGGGCCTCAGTTTGTTACCGAGCCTAAGAAATCTACAAACATGTCTAATCTTCCAAAAGAGCTGTAGCATATCATTTCAGATAAATAATGCTGATTAAGTATTTAAAAATCAAAAATAATTATTTCCTGACTAACAGAATCTGTTTAAACAAATTTCCCTTCTTGATATCCCCATTATTTGTCTGCTTCCTCTTTACATCTAATCTAAATTAAATTTAGTAAGAATATTTTTATCTCCTCCAACACATCAAATAAAAGGACTATGTCATATTTGCTTTTATATTCCTTAATGTAATAGAACATGGTAGGTGCTCAATAAATGTTTGTTAAACACTAAAAAAAAAATGATCAACTTCGGAAAGACCATCCTTTGAGTGGAAAAGTCAGATTCTTGACCATAAAAACTTCCCAAACTACACATTATCTAATAAGGAGGGAAAGAAAGGAAAGGAACAAAATGTGTAACATAATGGACACTGTCCTTTGTTTTCTAGACATAATACGCTACTTGAGTAAGAAAATCTATTTTATTGTTACTTTGCTTACACTATTGTTAGCTGCCATCAAGTAGGCCCCTAACTCATGATGACCTCATGCATAAGACCGGACCACTGTGCCTCAGACTTTTCAGTGGCTGGTTTTTCAAAGTTGATTGCCAGGACCTTGTTCCTGTTGTTGTTGTTGTTATTTGCCATCGAGTTGGCCCTGACTCATAGCGACCCCTCATTGGGTTTCCGAGCAAGGATCACTACGGAAGTAGGAATGCCCAACCTTCCTTCCGAGGAGTGGCTGGTGGGTTTGAACTGCCAGCCTTCTGGTTAGTAGTCAAGTGCCTTAGGCACTATGCTACCAGAGCTCCTGGACTTTGTTCCTAGTCTGTCTTAGTCTGAGAGATCTGCTGAGACGGACTGGTGGTGGCTGTGCTCAGGTGCAAGAGCCAGGAATGGAACCTGGCTGGGTCTTCTGCACAGAACACAAGATTTTTACCACTGAGCCATGACTGTTCCAGAAAGCCTGTTTTAGATTCACCTCCCAATCTTTAAAATCATGAAAACATCTCTAGATAGAGAGTAAAAATCCCTGATCTGGCAGTAACATCAGAAATAAAAATAAAAATACCTTTGGTGGTTTAAAAGGATAGTCTGTTGGAAAGTGTACGGTGAGAAAGAAGACTCCACCTTGGTATGCGCTATCAGGCTGAAATTACAAAACATTCACATCAGTGTTGGGTTTACTCTATCTATTTAGTAGCTTAAAATGACTTTTCCCAAAGAATTATCCATTTGATAAAAATGCCTTCTTTTTGCCATAAGTTCAAATCAGTTACCTTGAAAACAGATTTCCTTCTCTCTGCAGGTGTGAAGGAGGATTTTCCAAATAATTACGTCGACATCATAAGAGTTTAAAACAAAACAAAAATAAGACACACACAGTGGTGTGATTTGCCAAAACAAATCTGTTTATGAGTATAAATTTTTTATGATCAGAACATACACAAGACTGCTGTGAGTAAAAGTAATTTTCTGCAATAGTAATCTGTATAAAAAAAAGGGTTAGGGCTAGTATTTATCTCCTTATTTATAAACCTAAATTTTAATGGTCATTTAAGAGGCAAAGATAGAAATGAACTAGACACCAAGTTATGAAAAGAAAAGGCAAAGTGATACTTATGTAATTTAGACCTGAAATCTTCATTTAGTAACAGTTTATAAAGTAACAAAGAAAACATTCTACAATTAATTTATGACTCAACATCTCTTCTCATTCCAAATTCTATTATCTTGGTGCATCATTCAAAATACTAATAGTACTTTATATCCATATTCAATGAAAAGCAAAAAAGGCCAAAACAAAGCTAACTAAAATTTAATCTTCATAGAAGTATCAAATTTGGCATCAATTTTGCAAAGGAATTTAAATTTGGCCATACATTTTTATGGCAATTAGAAAACATAATATCACAAGAAGAAAAAAATTAAAAAGAAAAGCAAAAGGGTACCAGAACATCTGTAGAATTTTATTTTAAATTCTTCATATTAAATCAAATATATTGTGTTATATTAACAGGTAGGTAATAACAGCAAGACTATTATTATTTCCTCAAGTTTCTGCATACTCTTCCTATATATTATTGTTTAAACCTAGTTCATCAAAAATTCTAAGGAATGTAAACAATGGGAACAAATTGAAATGACAATGTTGATCGAGTACCTTTGATATCAAATGATACCATACAGTACAATAAAGCAGCATGTTTACATCATTAACAGGAAGAGTGTGAGCAACGTAATTGTAATCATTTGCTACATGTGATATATCTAAGAAATATTTCTGAAAGGCCAGAATTCAAATGATACGGATGGGCCTTAAAATGATAATATTTGGAAGGTTCTTGGTAAGCAATGAAAAACAAACATAAATAACCAGATTCTTATTAAGTTGTTATTTAAATAAACCAAATAGTGTAATTTAGTAATTTGAGACACGTGCCTATGAGTCCTACTCTGAGAACTCATTATTATTTCATTCTTTTTTTTTTTTTTTTTAAGATTAACACACAGCAATATGATTAAAAACTTTATGGCCTACTAGACAAAGCTCTTTCAGGGGAGAGAGGAGACAGTGATGTTCATGGGCATGTTATTAATGGACTCTGCTATGTGTTGAATTATGCCCCCCCTCAAAATAAGCATTGCAATCCTAAACCCCGTATCTATACGTATGATCCTGTTTGGAAATAGGGGTTTTCTTTTGTTGTGTTAATGAGTTCATACCATAATAGGGTAGGTCCTAAACCTAATCACTTCTGGGTTATAAAAACAGCAGAACCAACACGGAGACAGACACAGGGAAGGCAGAGAATGGAGACAGATGCATCTACAAGCCCAGGAATGCCAAGGATTGCTAGCAGCTCCTAGAAGGTGAAATAGGCAAGACTGCCTCCTAGAGCTACATCTTGATTTCACAGATCTAACCTCCTTAACTGTGAGAATATAAATTTCTGTTCTTTGAAGCCACCTCCTTTGTGGTATTTTGTTATGACAGCTTTAGGAAACTAAGACATACTCTAATCCAGAACGTAGATTTGAGCTGTCAATGCCCATTCTTAAGTGATCATATTATTTTTACTGGCAAAGGAAAGCCTGTTTCCAAGTTATAACTGCCTCTCAGGTATACAAAGAAACAACCTTAACAAAGAATGACAAGTATTAAGAAGAGTGAGTCACAAAACAGCAGGTATTTTGAGTTCAGGACATGTAACAGAATTAAAAGCAACAAACTCATGAGTTGGCAAAGATAGACCCAGTGCAATATTTTATTAGTTCTCTCTCTCAAACAGGAACAATAGCTTAACAATGCAAACTTGTGCATTGTACAGAGCATTAATTGTATTTGTGCATTAATTACACTTATTTATACCCGCTAAATCTATCGATATGAGAATGATTGTGCTTAGATCTGAACAACTGACTTTGTGTGTACATATTAAAAACAAAAAAGATTAAGCAAACATACAGTTTGGTTGCAAAATTACTATGTACAATGATCAAGGAGTTGGCAAAGGAAAACATCATTGTAATCATAGCAAATATTTGCCACTGATGTTCTAGAAAGTCATCACAAATCCTTGATCATATTTTGCTTTCTGAGGATTCACAGTACAAGAAATTCAACCTCTGCCACAAACATCTGACTGAATGTGAAATGGCAAGAATGACGGCTGAGGGGATTAATTTCATATATATGAATCATACTTACAGGCCCCATAATAGTTGCTTGCCAGTGGAACACTGAAACAAACAAAGGAGTTTTGGAGTCATTAACAAATGTTCAAACCTATATAATTAATGGTAGCAAAATCCCAGCAATAGGGCAAAGCTTACAGTCATCTCCCACAGGTCCAGCTGAACAGTGAGCAGGTGGATCACGTTGCAAATCACTTAATTCCTGAAGCAAAGCAAAATACTGAAGGTTAATTCTTTTTCCAGTGAAACAACCACAATAATTCAATAAGATACAAATTATTTACTTTAACATTTTAGACAATTCTGTTCAAAATATGAAAACATAAAATTTACTGTGTTACTGACTAGTCAAAGAGAATGGAATAAAGTGTTAAATTCCTTATTAATGGACAGCTCCAACAACTGAAAACATTAAATGGATTAACATATTGTTTTTCTTTAACATCCCTAAAACAAAGATATTTAATGAGTATCTACTGTATGCAAGGTAATTTACGTAAGTGTATAAATAAAATTTAATAAACAGGTCCTATGCTCGGAAGGAAGGTAGGGCAATCCTACTTCCGTAGTGATACTGCCTCGGAAACCCAAGGAGGGGTCGCTATGAGTCGGGGCCGACTCGACGGCACATAACAACAACAACAACAACAACAACATCCGACTCAATAGGAGCTCTGGTAGCATAGTGCCTAAGGCACTTGACTGCTAACCAGAAGGCTGGTGGTTCAAACCCACCAGCCACTCCTCGGAAAGAAGGTTGGGCAATCCTACTTCCGTAGTGATATTGCCTCGGAAACCCAAGGAGGGGTCGCTATGAGTCGGGGCGACTCAACGGTAAATAACAACAACAACAACAACAATCTGACTCAATGGCACTGAGTTTGGTTTGGTTTTGATATTTCCGATAGATTTATAATCTAAAGAGGGAGAGTGAAAAGCTCACAGAGAGATGATATCTAAGCAACAACCTGAAGGTTAGGTAGAAAGCAAGAAGGAGAACAGCAAAGCCATGTTTTGAAATCTAGAAAATTGATTCAATGCTCTTCCCTGCCTTCAAGGAATCTTGGAAAGGACACATAGTTTAGAGTTGGCCAGTTCTGAGTTGGAAATTCCAATTCTACCATAGCACTATGACCTTGGGAAAATTAACTTTCTCAGCCTCAGTTTGGAAGGAACTGATTACCTCCAAATATGAAAGGTACAAATTCAGGATAAGGGGCAATACTTGAGGAACCAAATTTAGATTAGAATATCAAAGAGTATCTCTGAGGAAGTGATATTTAAGATCAAAGTTTAAAAATGAGTGGGAGTTAGTTTTAGGGAAACGAGTGACAGGAGAACTATGAGGTAGACCAGTATAAGGTAAGTTTAGAAAGGCAGGCACAGGCCAAGCAGACAACAGAGAATAATACACACCATGGTAAGGATGTGGGGCTTTAAACTAAGTGCACTGAGAGGGGTTTTAAGAAGTGGTAGTGAACTAATTTAAAAGATCACCCTGACTGGTGTATGTATTATAACTAATATACTAATTATAGAGGAGAAAGAAGAGAAGCTACAAGATTAGTTAGTACAGGCAAGAGAAATGGGAGCTTTGACTAGACAAGTGACAAAAAAGAAAGTATATGGGTTTGAAGTATTTTGAAGGTTCTACCGCAGTATTTGGTGATGAACTACATATGCAGAATGAAGGACAGAGACCACAAGTATCCATGATGAAGATTAGTGGCATCTAAACTTTACTTGTATTTTAATCTTCCTTACAGTTCTCAGAGGTGTTATTATGTTCTCATTTTACAGATTAAGAATGAAGGTGACAACCTTGCTTCACTGTATGTTCATAAAACTAGTTAAGTTTGGAAGTAGGATTCAAACCCAAGCAGTCCAATGACTGGCTTTTTAGCTTCGGCAAAAGTACAAATGTAGATGCCATATTGAGGATTGAGAACAAAGGATTTAGAGAATAGACATATTGAATTTGTAATCCCTTTGATATCATGGAAAAATTGAGTTCAACATGTATGTCTGGAGTTGAAAAAAGGTCTAGGCTAAAAATCTGAAAGTTGCTGTACATAGTGGGTATTTAAAATGACAGGAATGATATAAACATTTTCATGGGAATACATGTAAACAAATACTACATTTCATTGAAGCTGAGACATCATCAACTATAACTGCCATCTTTATTTTATGTATAACTAATTTTTTTAACTAACATTTAATTTTAAGGTATCATTCGTGATAAGGCATCTCCAGATTTTTAGAAATGTTAGTATGTGAAAAGATGTGCACCCTAAATTCACTGCAATATGGTAACTTTAGCAATGGGATAAGTCCTCTAATAGACAAATAAGGCAGGTGGTTAGGGAAAGACTTTCCTAAGGAAGTGATATATTAGCTAAGTAATCAAGCCAAATGCAAACTCAGGTCTCCTTCCCCCAGGCCCAAGGTTCTTCTGTATACATCGGTGTTTTGATTTTTGTTGCTAGGGTTTTTTAAATTTTTTTTTTTGGTGTGCTATCTTTGTTTTTAATAGATGGTGCTGTGCTTCTCTTTCTAATGAGACTTTACTGACAGACCTACCTGCATCTTTCTGTAGTCCGTGTATAGTTTAGAGATAAAGAGGAGGATTTTAGTCTTTGGCTTTGTTAGAGTAGTTAGAAATAAAGCTTTGAAGTTTAAGTCTGGGTACCACCACTCAATTGCCACATGATTTTGGGCAAGTCTTTTCTTTTTTTCTTCCCCAAACCTCAATTTTGTTCAGGCAAAATAGCTTTACTACCTTCACTCACAGTTTCCATTATGATCTAGTGAAATGATATATGAAAAGTGTCCAGTACAATCTCTGGCACATAGTAAGCATTCCAAAAATAAATATCGAATTGATAACAATCACCCAGTTATCTAATAGAAGAATAGTAGAATTCAATTCTCTAAATAGCTCAAAAGATTGGGGAGGAGCAGCTACCAAGTCATGGCCTCATTTCAGAATGACTGCGCCTTATTTTAAGGAGCTCCAGTGGCAGCTCCAGTGGCGTAGTGCCTAAGGCACTTGACTGCTAACCAGAAAGTTGGAGGTTCGAACCCACCAACCACTCCTCGGAAGGAAGATTGGGCAATCTACTTCCGTAAAGATACCATCTCAGAAACCAAAGGAGGGGTCACTATGAGTCAGAGAAACTCCACGGCACATAACAACAACAATAGTGTCGTGGTTAAGACATTGGGCTGCTAACCAAAAGGTCAGTGGTTCAAACCCACCAGCTGCTCCACAGAAGAAAGATGAGGTAGTCTGCTTCCGTAAAGATTTACAGCCCTGGAAACCCATTGGGGGTGTCTATAAGTCAGAATCGACTCGATGGCAGAGTTTGGTTTTTGGTTTGGTGACTTATTTCAGTTTTTTTTAATTTAGGCTTCTAAGAGATTGCTTCTGAAAATAAGCATCATGTCGAATTTTCTAAACATTAGTGTAAATGGGATTTCATTGCCCTTATTTTAACAAGAAAACTCTCAATACCACCAAGTTGATTCCAACTCATAGTAACCCTACAGGACAGAGTCAAACTGCCCCACAGGGTCTCTAAGTCTAGATCTTTATGGAAGCAGACTGCCTCATCTTTCTCCCACGGAACAACTGGTGGATTCGAACTGCCGACCTTTTGTTAGCAGCCAAATGCTTTAACCACTATGTCACCAGAGCTCCTCTAGCTAGAAAACTACTTGATCAGAAAATGACAGTCTCTAATTATGGTTTAAAAAAAAAAAAAAAACGTAATGATCTGCATGATGTATATATTCTGCATAAAGACAATAAGAAGGTGAATAAATTATACATATACACAAATACTGGAACCCTGGTGGCACAGTGGTTAAAGTGCTCGGCTCCCAACGGAAAAAAATCAGTGGTTCAAACCCACCAGCCACTGGGCGGGAGAAAGATGTGGCAGTCTGCTTCAATAAAGAGAACACCCTCTTAGGCAGTTCTATTCTGTCACAAAGGATCACTATGAGTTGGAAACAATTCGACAGCAACTGGTTTGTTGGTTTGTTTGATATACATAAATATATAAAAATTAATTTGTTAACAAGAAAGAATTTGTATTTTACTTGTGAGAGCCCTGAAACATGTTCAAATTTCAAATGGCAGGCTAAACTTCAAATTCCTTTAAAAAACATAAAAACAAAGGTTATCTTCTTCTTATCTTATGCCCTGATTCTACCTCCTCTGCTAGGAAGAGTAGGGCAAAGGAAGATGAAATCCAACAAATGAATTCCCACAAAGGCCAGGTTCTTAGGGTGTCTACTTAAAACCCACTCATTACAGGAAAAGAGGCGTCTGACAGTACATCAAGCATCAGTCATTCATTACTACAAACAATTTCTAATATTTGGTGAGGACACTTAGATATCCTAGAGTTTTTAGAAAGATCTAGATTTCTAACATTTTACCTCTTTGTCAAAGCAAGCATCTGAAAATATGCTGTTACATTGTTTGAAAATAATGTAACTGAAGCTACGGTGCATATGTGCAGACAGAATGACTAACAGAAGGCACAACAGACAGATATATAGTTATTAAATTTGAAAAGAAAAAGTAAAATGACAAATTATAGAAAAGTTTGGGATGTGCTAATGAGGTAAAGATATAACCCAAACAAAAACTACAACCAACCAAACAAAAATCCTCTCTTTTTGTTTCTTAGTCTACTCAGTAGTCTGTGCACTTTTAGGTTAAGACACTCTGATGAGTGCCTACGGTATCTGACTGCTATCCAGAAGGTTGGTGATCCAAACCCACCAGCCACTCCATGGAAAGAAGATGGGGAAATCTACTTCCATAAAGATTCACCACCCTGGAAACCCAATGGGGGTCGCTATGAGTCGGAATCAATTCGATGGTAGTCAGTTTGGCTTTTTTTAAATATTCATTAAATTGCCCCTTTTATTTAGCTTATATTCCAAGTTTTTCTGAAATTTCCTAGTTATCTACTTTATGCTTTAATTCTACTATAACTGGCATTCTATTTATCTACTTCTAGCATCATGGCCACATATGGAATATTAAAAATAATTTAGTGATTCTCATGTTATTCCAGAAGAATATGCTAAGACTCCTCATCTCCCATCCATTAAGAATCAACACAACACTCAAGATTACAGGATTTTCATAACAGCCACATCTTAATTCCACCTTCCTCACTC